AAATTTACGGATTCGGAAAAATCTTTCGCCATTCTCACCTTGCTTTATTGGATCTTCTTTCTTTTTGCATGCTTTTTGTATAAATCGAAATCTTGGAATTGAAATAATAAGGATCTTTGGGTACAAAGCTTTGGATGCTTATAAATTTATTTACAAGTATACTCAAGTTTTTATGCTTTTTTGCAGCAGTGCAATGCGAAAAACGCATATCGAAGAGAGGTTGTCTGTGTGTGTGTTTGTGTGTGTGTGTGTCTGTGTCTGTGTCTGTGTGTGCGTTAGGCCTCTGTACCGATTTTTCATCTCGAGACCGGCAAAAGCTACGGGGTTGAAACTTTGGGGCCTTAATCTACATGCACGTGCGGGTCCCTATCCCCAAAATGGGCGGTCTTTCCCACGTGATACCCAAGTAAGACCCCGCCAAAGTTTTTTACGGGTGAGTTGCTAAATCGCGAACCAGGAAAGCTAGAGAGCTGAAATTTTATGGGAATGTTCCCCGTCCAAGCAGGGGCTAATGGACTCAAATCTAGCCCCCGGGTAAGCGTGGTACCCGCGTACGACCCCCCCAAAATTTTCCCCGTGTAAATTCATAACTTGGAGTTCTTAGATGCTGGAAAGCTGAAATCTTAGGGGGGTGTTTCTTGTCTAAGTGGGTGTCAATGAGTTCAAACCCTGCCCGCGGGTAAGCGTGGTATCTACGTACAGACCGGTGAAAAGTTCCTTCCGGGTAAGTTAATTACTCGAGAACGTGCCTGGAATTTTGAGGGGGTGTTTCCTGACAGTTCTGGCGACCAGTCTGAAATTCTTTCAGCTAGAAGCATCTGCCGAAAAAACCGATGCTGGTAGCGACAAAAACTGCGGGGAACCCTGCAAAAAGCGCATCTTCGCACGGGCAGCTCGTGCGTTGGCCAATTATTACTTTTTTGATGCTCCTCTCTTCTGATCAGCTGCTGTTTCATTGTTGCATTGTCGCCATTGATGCAGCTGGCAACTTCTCCATTCTTCTCTGTTTTGCGCTCCTCTCATCCACCTAATTTTACATAGCCTTTCTAGTTGAGCTTTTCATTGCATCGGTCGTTTAGCACTCTTAAGGTTATGAAAGCGTTGATTATCGCGTGTTTCCGTGTTTGAAACATCATAAAATTCACAGTAAAATAAAGTTTGCACCCGTTTTCAGCCTCTCAGTAAGAAACACGAAACAGCGCTACGAGATGCTCTGAAGAAGCTAGCGAAA